CTGAAATGTTTTTGCTATGAAATACGTCGATATTTACAATATTACTTATACTGAACTTCAAAATAATTCATGAATTCGTCTTAAATACTTTTATTTTAATTTACTTTTTCATAATTCATAGCATTAATTCGGACACAATATTACTTAACAACGCTCGCTGTTCGCATAGTTATTGCTTCAGCAGTATTATGATTGGATCATAATTATTGCCATAATAGCGTAGAGTAAATATTCTTTGAATCTCGAAGCATCTTTTTGAAATCGATAAGGATTTGTGTTCTAGGAGGCCCCGGACCAGCGCTACCGCCAAACAATGCTGGTAAGTTTGAAGAATTGTGCTTATGTGTCGATAATGTTTCATGGTTTGATTGCATCTATGTTATGTTGAATGTAGATCAAGAATATTTCGTTGAAGACAGTAGTTTAGGACCAGCAATACATCCAACGAATCCCAATGAATGTGATAGTTCCTTCATTTTAGATCAGAATTAAAACTTCTGCAGTGATACTGAAATGTTTTTGCTATGAAATACGTCGATATTTACAATATTACTTATACTGAACTTCAAAATAATTCATGAATTCGTCTTAAATACTTTTATTTTAATTTACTTTTTCATAATTCATAGCATTAATTCGGACACAATATTACTTAACAACGCTCGCTGTTCGCATAGTTATTGCTTCAGCAGTATTATGATTGGATCATAATTATTGCCATAATAGCGTAGAGTAAATATTCTTTGAATCTCGAAGCATCTTTTTGAAATCGATAAGGATTTGTGTTCTAGGAGGCCCCGGACCAGCGCTACCGCCAAACAATGCTGGTAAGTTTGAAGAATTGTGCTTATGTGTCGATAATGTTTCATGGTTTGATTGCATCTAAGTTGTGTTGAATATGAACCAAGAATATTTGACCTTGGGTTACAATATTATTACTGAATAAATGATTCATAGTAGCAGCGCTGCTTCTAAATAATCGCGATGAATTAAACCGTTGTAATCGTTTCTCGTTCAATTCAAACCTCCGAGACTCGTTTCTTAATCGAATTAGGAGCATAAGGCCATCTGTCGGCATCAGCGTCTACCGATATTTAGCCACAAAATTTTACAAAAATTCAAAGTTCCGAACCACAATATGGTTGCGGTTCTTTTTCCAGTTAGGCTGAATCCCAATCCCATATCTGATGGCAGAAATAGCTGGTAAAGTCGTAGTGAATTCATAAGTACCTACTCCAAAAACAGGCTTAAGTTGGGCTATGAAAGTCAACGAATCAGAAATTACGAAATTTGGAAAAATATTTTTGACAAGTTATCATGTCCCACCGTAAGGCCATACGGACTGCTACCTGCAAAGTCTAGTGCATCAGCGTTCATGAAGATACGGCGGAAAATTCTATTGAACATGGAAGTTTTTGCGACACTGCTACCCAATGCGTTCATTTTTGAGTCGTTTCACATGAGCATAGATTTAGGCAGAAACTGTTAAATGAACTTTATAAGCATAACCCTGATTCTTTTTTCTTGGCTGAATGAGAGGAATTCAAAGTGCCAATTTTTTGAAATTTGCCTTTAAAATGTTCTTTGCTTAGATTTATAATGCTCTGAAATTCGTCAGGTGGACCGGGTCCAGTTGTTAGTGGCTCAGGCTCCGGTAAGGTAAAAAGGGATAATGGAAAAACGGATCATTCAAAAGAGAAAGGTGTGTTTCGTAGGTATGCGACCGCCCGTCAAAGCAAAAAAGTGCCGAAAATTCTTTAGTCAACTTTTTTCTCGTTAGGTACCATGGTGCACCAATTGATAAATTCAAAATTTTGTCAATCTCAACCTCCAGGTCGGTATCATTTTGATTGGCAACATCTGTGAAAGTTTATCGAAAAAAGTGTTTTTTTGAACGGTCACGCCATCTACATTATGCATTCAGACATCTTAAGAAAAAAAAAACTTCAACACAGCATCCTTTAAGATTAACTTTTTTGACACAAACTTTCATCGAGTTTGGCTCAGACGGAACTTTTTCGAGGGAATTCGAAAAATTTTGCTGAAGAGGAATCTCGCTTCGATTGTTTCTAAATCGAAAAAATGACTTTTCTGCACTGAGACATCGCAATTCCGAAACTTCAAAAAAATTTGCCACTTCTGTGTAGATACTGATCGAGCATATATATTATCATTCTTACTGACGCTTCAATTCTTCTTCAAACCGCAACTTTTTTCAGGGGGTCCGACGCCTTTTTCGAGTGGTCCAGCCCTTGGAAGGCATGGCCTTGAAGAGGGACCATTGAGAATGCCTTGTAAGGAACATAGTTGCACTCTTTTAATTAACTTTTAAAACCAATTTTTTGTAAAATGATAGTTCTTTGATTTGTTAGTTCAGATAACATCGATCAATGTTGCCGATCATTTTGATTCCGTCAATAAAAGAACAAAGGCGCAAAGTTATTGCTAATTTTAATTGTGATACTTATGTAATTACTACTTGGCTGTAATAAGTAATTTGTGTAGTCAATGAATGTTTGACACAAAGAGATATAACTCGCGTATTATCCAAATAAGTAACAATTATATCTCTTTCTATCAAACATCAAACACTACACAAATAATAATTCAGTTTGTTTAATCAGTAATCTTGCAGTTATTGGTGGTCCTGGTCCGATAATCAGTGGTTCCGGTATCGGTAACGTGTGGCAAAAGGCAAACGAAGAAGCTGCCAAAATGCATCATCATTGATTGGATTTGATACCATTCTACTGTATGATGATCTTTGTTGATAAACTAATAATAATAATATTTATTCGCATGACAATATATATATATAATATAGTTCAGTGCAAGTTATTACTGTATAGCGAATATACTGCCCCAACTATTGCTGGGGAGGGAGAGACGATTGTATAACAGGCAGAAGAGAATAACAATTTTACTACATTATCATATAATGGCAGTGACATCACATCAGCGAATCAGGCTATAATACAGCGTTTATAACATATCATGATACAACATAACATTTTTTTCGCATAATAGAAATGAGAAGTTATGTACAGTGGCAACGGCATGGCATATCTCATGCACTGCAAGAATAAAGAACAAGGGGAATGAGATCCGTCAACATTTTACGATTTACTCATGCTAGTTGCTTATCAGGATTTTATGAGAGATATAAATCCGATTTCATCAGGTGGAATAGATCGGGGTCTGCATTTAAATGTTTGAAGCGATTTGGAGGAGGCAATATTTTAGGGGAGTAAATTCCAGGCTCTAACGATTCTGTGTGCAAAGGAGAATTTTGCACTGTTTAGTTTGCAGCGCTTGACAGTGAGTTTAAAGGAATTATTATGGCGGGTTCATTCAATGCTTGAGGAATGTTCGAAGAATTCATTCAATGGGAGACCGGCCTGATATTGAATGATGTTGTAGGCCACACAAAGGTCAGTATAAAATCTTCGCAGTTCTAAACTTTCTAATCCTAATATTGTTAGTCTCTTCCGGTATTTGGGTACATTACAAAAATCTCCACAATGTCTCTTGAAGATGTAACGGGCGTATCTTCTTTGAACCTTTTCAATTATACGTGCATACATCATCATCACCTCTAACTCAACTACCCATTACAGTTATTACTTATTGCAGTATTGGTTGCAATAACTTAAGGGAGATACTGCAACTACTCATTATTATACAGTATCAGACATCACTTATGGCAGTGGGAAGTTGTACTGATTGTAGGGAGGGCATTCCAGTGAGTGAAGAGAGCGCCTGCTTATAACCATGGATGAACCCGATACATCGTGCTAAAGGCTTGGAGATGCATAAGCGAAAGGAATTTCATGTCCCGTTGAATATGATCTCGAATGGTGCGCCAGTGTTGATACTTGCCAATATTTTTCAACTATTAATATAATTGCAAGGGTAATAGTTTAAGAAATGTTGAGCTGAAGGTTTCGTGTTCCGAAATATTGAATATAAATGCTAAAAGTAACAATTAATCGAGGACTATCGCAACTCATTGAAAACAGTCAAAAACGGTCAAACAAAGCACAGTTTGAATATCCTGACTCTAATAGTGGTGTAACATCTCCCTTACAAGAGAGTTCTTATAATACAGCGTTTCATTAACAGGGCAATGGATGATCTGAGAAATCCTTGAATAGGAGGCTAACTGATGATACTGGTTATCTTCTTTTGTGATTTAATGCTATTAAAACATTTATAAATACTTTTAGTCTTATACAATACAGTACTTCGGACATTTTTAACAGACAATTTTTGTAAAACTCATGTCGTCATTTGAGAAGGAATAGTATGTTCATTCGCTGTTGTTTACTTGTCATTACATCTTTTCTATAGCAAGCTTTCGCAAGAGAGAGACGGGACCAACAAAACACTTTGACAAGAGGCCTTGTTTTGCTTGAGGCGTCAACAGCTGTATCCTCTATTCAGAGAGGAGAAAAGATAATTCAGTTACTCTAGCCCTTCCCAATCGGGAATATCAAGCAATAAATCCAAATGTAGACAAATTCAAAGCGGCAAACAGTAGCCCAAACAATAATGAAAAGGCCAATAACCGTATGTAACATTATCCCATGACGAACATCCCAATGTGGACGACTTCGAGGTGAGGGGATTCGTCGGTGTTATTGAATAGTTGGCCAAGTACGGCCCCGGTATTCTTGGAGGAACTACTTCTCGCTGTGTTATCATGATGGCTCATATGGGACTTGACAACTGCAGATGTTCTCAAGGCATTGCATTCTCTGCGACCATCGAATTTCACGAATTTCGATGCATCGAATTTCACCTATACCTCTTCTATAGATCAGTAATCTCCTAAACTTCCGTGGTGAATTCAACATTTACTCGGATGTTATCTATTCCAGTTGTATTGAACATAAGATAAGCTAACATCTTGTAATATCAACTGTATATCTGGAACAGAAGTAACAATAATGAATACGTTTCGATCACGTTTTCTTGCGAATGAATATTTAGTATCGTTATCAACAATATTTAAAACAAATACTCGTTCATTTAATTTCCCTCTTGAATATTCTTGTTCAACAAAACTTGGTCGAAATGTGTCCATGATCGTTATTTCTGTTTAAACATCTTTGATATTACTATTTGCTATATCAACATACGCGTATTATTGATACAGTCTACCTTTACATCTGTCACCATCTTGTGATGCACATACAATCCTTCTATTTCGTTTCACTTTGAATGATAAACATCGATGAATGTCAACTTCGAGAACTCGAAAAACTGTGTTTCGTGAACAACATAAAGGAGTTTTTGTTTATCCATTTCGACAATATCTTCAATAAAGAAGACATGTTTACAAAAAGGATGTTTCCGAAAATACTATCTCGAATACAATTATACAAATGATACGGGAAAAGAATGGTGGAATCGAACGGAGGACGTTCATTCAATTTTGGATTGACCCTAACGTCATGTTAGTTTGATTTTAAATGAACTCTAGATACTTGCGTCTTGCGTCTTTTTTTGCGTCTTTCATAGATATACTTTGTTAATGTAGTGTGTCTATGAAAGACGCAAAATCATCTAACAGGCCTATGTTTACTCGGCGTTAGCTCGAAAATTAACTTCTTTGAAAAAATGCGTAACCAGGAACAAATAACCTTTGAATGATGGCTGATTTTTGACTCATCGATCTCTATTTCAAACCGTTTAGCGACGAAGTTAGATCTCTGCAAATAAAATTAAAGACTGCCTGACACTTAATGAATAATTGAAATTAAAATAATTTCAATAAATGGTTGCTTATATTATGAATGAACCAATTGATCATCAACAGTGTGAAAAGTGGCTGTTTTCGAATGAATCATATAAAGAAGTAATACGAAAAAAAAGCTGAAATAGTCAAAGCGATAGATAATAAATCCATCTAAATGTTAAAAGAAAGGAATCATTGCAAATAAACGCATAAAACTGTACGATTTGAATTCCATTTACATTCATTGCATCAGTAGAAATTCAATTGATCATAGCTCTTCTGAGATCTCATCGGTTCAAACTCGTTTGGCAAAAAAAATGCTTTGGTATACATACCAGAATTTTTTGATAGATCGATCACTTACGTTTTGTTTGAGTGAAAATGTGAAAGATGGAATGCAGAAATGATGAATCGTAATAAAAATAACACATTCAAAGCCTAGGTATGTACACATATACTTGGTATGTTGAATATGTATATAAACGGTGAAGTGCTGAAGAGCGTGTATGTATTTATGAGGGCAATTGCGTTGAATCAGAGTCAAATTCGACGAATTCATTTCAAATTCGCTTGACTGCTGACTGTATTCGATGACCAATGAGTATGCGATAAACGGTATTCGTCAAATACCAGCAGTATCATCGGTTATATTTCATCATATAAATACTTCAGTAAATTTCATTTCATTTAGTGCAATTGTCGCTTAACTACAACAGATTAATGGCGTTTGTACATCATTCGATATCAAATAAAACTTTTAAATGAAAGTAAATGTCGAGCCGACAACGTACCAAATATCAGTCGGGTACTTTACCAACTGAAGATGTGGATTCGAGTTTCGCTCGTGATAGAATGCTTTGATAGAAAACGAATGGTGTACCAATATCATTACTGTTATCCAGCTCAAGCCAGCAGGCTATGATTTGATTTCTAATTCTATGAAATACAGTTTCTATATGTCGATGATCACCTTATATCATTAAATTCTGTAGTTGTACAGTTGAGAATGAATGGATGTTAACTTCTCATCGTTCTTCGCATAATCGATGCAATCGTTAAGTAACCAACAATTTTCTGCACTTTCAATAATATTTACCTGAAATTAACAACTGCAGTAGGAAGAACAACAACTAAACTCTTCGCACCACCCATTTACATAGCTAGTTTTCTAGTGTTCGCATAAATTCATGTATGCTGCTGCTTCAATAAATTCATTTCACTTCAGTATTCTTGTGATGTACGCTTCGAATCACTTATGACTCATGAGTGAGTTCAAGGCTCATCACTGAATTCATATCTCTTATATCTTATGGATGAGCATTCGAAGAATATTTGTTGAATGACAGATCATTCAGGTTGATTTTGTTGATCGTAGTTCGTCTTCGATTGATTCAGTGAATATTTAGTGAAAATGTTAGTGAATTTTTCAGCAGCACTCATGTCTTGGCAAACGATTTTCGTGTTTGCCATTGTTGCTCATTTGAATGCTTCCTCCGGTCAAGGATTTATGCCTCAAGGAGGTTAGTTTTATCATCGGTTATTGCAGACCATGATCACTTTTTCTCTATTCCAAGCATTCATAAATGGCCAATTCAAACTGGCTATAATGTTCTCACTCTTCATGATAAAATTCATTTCCTCTGTACTCGTAATAATTTCATTTTCATGTCGATTCAATCTTGACAGGTCCTGGTCCAGAGATCCCTTGGTGGGATTCAGGAGGTAAGCTGAAATTTTTAATCGATTGCTCAAGTTTTTGCAGAGTGTGATTCTCAGTTTTCGTCCAGCATTATTCATTTTTCAAACAGTGTAATGATAAGAAAAGACGAAATTTGACGTGTTTGTAGGTGGAGGCAGTCCGTGGGGAGGTAGTCCGTGGGGAGGTAGTCCGTGGGGAGGTAGTCCATGGGGAGGTGGATGGTCACCGTGGATGAATGGTGGTGGCTGGAATAACCCGATGGGAGGCGGTGGCTGGAATTATCCGTTTGGACCTTGGGGAATGGGCGGCGGATGGTATTGAGCAATTCCATTCGAAAAGCATTCAAACTCAGTGTGGATACTCCGGTATTTCGATTTTTTTAAACATTATAAGCTGACTTTTTCTAAACTTGACAATAATTGTAACTTATTCTCAAATTTCTTTTTTTTTAAATTTCAGAATGAGAAATTTAGCTGATCAAACCGAAACAATATCGATCGATCATCAAGCAACTCATCGACTATCGAATAGTGTACAAACAGAACTAATTCAGAATTCAATCATTCTTCTCAACATTTTCTAACTTTCGCAGTTGTTAACATTCAGATTTTATGTCTTCATATTTATAATGGAAATGTGCATGAAACTAATGAGTATGAAATAAAATTTGTCATCATTCGCATCATTTTAACTCCATCAATCTTTCGTTGAACATTCAGAGTCGGCCTTTTTAAGGAAAGTACACAAACTTACCATATGAAGATTGTATTTTATGCGAGTCGTTGCCGAAAATCACTCTGTCTGTTCAAACACGAAGTGATTCCCAGCAACCATGGAAAGAAAGCAAAACCATCGAAGAAGAAAAAAAGCGATCGCCATAAACGATCAAACACTGAAATGAAATTTCGTTTTTTCTTCTCGAATTTATTCGTCTCATTGCATAAAATTTCGACATGATAAGCAAAGATGAGCAATAATTAAAAAGTTTATGATGAGATTTTTTGATGGCAGTTTCATGCGAGAAAGATCTTTTACTGCTCACCAAACTGAACTACTCGATGCACCAAACAGAGTGCGATGAATGATTATAATTTGATCGAAATCATCAGAAGAAGCAAAAATAACGTTCGGGGCATACAAGAACAGTGACAAAGGGACATTAGCAGATTGCGAATTATGGAAGAAGCATTTGAGAGCAAAACGCATAAAACATGATGATCGTAAATGTTTATGATTTATACGAACTCGATTAAAATGATATTTATACGAACCAATCTCGAATCGAACATTCACAATCATCGTTCCTTGCCTGAAAAAATCCTATCGATGGCCAAATCTCTCCTATGACTCTGGCCTTCCATTTTCCACTTTCCTTGCTGCAACTTTTTGAAAGCACTCGAGCATAAATACTTAATGTTCATGCTGCTTCAAAATTTCAGATGAGTCGTACACTATCATTATTGGCTGCTTCACTAGCAAGCCTTGTGTATCTCATGGATGCATATCCAAGTAAGTACGAAAGAGTTTCGTTTCAAGTTTCTCACGGCGATCCATGTATCGTTCAAGTTAAACAACACAAGACTGCATTAATTACTGAATGTACAAGACCGTTTTGAATTTCAAAGCCTTCAACTCCAAATGAACCAACTCCACTCGCAGGTCAAATTCGTTCAATCCGTTCCTTCGCAAGAGTTTAAAGATAACAATCAATTTTGCTTTGTCCTATTTTGCTTTCGATAAACTTCATTCAAATTCAAAATTCACTTGTAATAACTAAAAAATATTGCGTGAACATTGCCGAAGAACGGTGTATTTCAGGTGGTTCAGCGCCTCAACGACCTATCATTAATGGAGGTCCAGGACTAGCGTTACCACCATCAGTGAATCCATACTTACAAGGTCCAGGACTAGCATTACCACCACCAGGAGTACTAGGTCCATATGTTGGAGGTCCAGGACCAGTATTACCACTACCAGAAGTACGAGGTCTATATGGTGGAGGTCCAGGACTAGAACTACCACCACCAGCATACAGGCGGCCTTTCATAGGCGGTCCGGGGCCAATCATGTCTGGCTCTGGAGTTGGTAACGTCTGGCAAAGAGCAGAGCAAGCGCGACCACAATGGCGTTGATTCAGACGTGGTGCCCGCTATTGGTGGCACTGCCATCTAAGAACATCCCCAATCAATGAAAATGTAGTTGCTATCAGTTAATTTATTCATTCATAACATAGTCAATATAATCTTCACTTCGATTATAACTCGTGTACTTTTCAGACAAACCAAAGGACAGTGCAATATGTTGATAAGTAATTGCTTCATATGAACTATATCGAACAAGAATTTTCGAATAAAATTTTAAAAATATCAGCGTTGACTCGAATCATTCTTACATTCATCAGAGAATAATATTTGTACGTCATACAATATTACGTGATAAATCATCATTGTGGCAATACATTATATGCTAAATAATCATGTGAATAATCATTTATGAAAACTTCCCAGGAACTACACTCAATAAAAACCTTTCGCGAATAATCAGCACATGTGCACTAGTCACTTCATATATAATTCAGCCATGGGTGGGAATTGCCGAAAATACCTGTGAATTCGCACACAACCCAGCAATAAGTCTGTCGGTAACTTAACCTTTTTATGCAGAGATGGACAATAGCGCGCTATTCCACTACTAGCGGAATAGCGCGGTAGTGGAAATCATTTCGGACTACTTCCGTTATCATATGTTCACACTCGTTCGCTATTCGCTATCATATGTTCGAAAACTGATAAAATAGGTTACTATTTTTGCCTCATTGTCATTGAGTCCCTCAAAATTTTGTTGAAATTCAACCCATCGGAGATTACTTCACCAGCGAAATTCCATCTACACCGATTGTTTTTATTTCTTATTTAATAACTAACCTTTTCAAAGTTGGATGAAATTATCATCCACGTTTATCGTGTCAGTAATCATCTGCAGTAGGATGAAGGGGTTCACGTTGTCATATGCCTTCTTTATATGAAGGTGCACAATATATAGTACGTTAGGTTCTCCTTCTCCATATTAACAATAAGCAGTATTTTCTTGCATATTTCTGTGAGTGCCGTTCTGATCGAGAAAGACCTCCGAAAAGCGTACTGGCAACTGGACAGGAAAGGTTGAAGGGTATCGCAAATAATTTGAAAAATTGTCGAAAAATTTCATCATATTTTATCATATTGAAATTTTATCATTATTCTTGTTGAATAATGCAGATTATCATTAAAATAGAAATTTTGTCACTATTCTCGTTGAATAATGGAGATTATCATTAAAATAGAAATTTTATCGTTATTCGTTTTTAAATGAAAATTATCAGTAGTTTAGTGGCGTAAGAAGTTTTTCTCACACAAACAAGCGATGCTATTGCAATTTCCGAGTGAAGGTTCCAAAGTAGTGAGTAGTGATGGCGACAGCGACAGCGACAGTGCTTCACTACTGCTTCGAGGATAATAGCGATAGCGCCTTTTTTCAGCTGACATTTTTTGTATAGCATGCCCATGTGTGCTTTTATGCGTTCTTGTTAACTCTCCTTATCGATAATAACACCAGTTAATATGTAACAGTAACAATCGAAACAGTAGTAATAAAACAGCAACAATAATATATAATTGTGAGCAGTGATCATAGCAATGAAACGAGCAATAAGTACAAATAACAACAATAATAGTTCTAATAATATTAGATTTTTATTATTTTCACTTTCTGCTCCAACAATAATTCGGGTAATATATTCGTCATACTGTTATTTGTTCGTTGAAGTTTCTTATTCATATTTTAATCATACGAATAAAATTTATTTATTGTTTATAGTAATGAGGATAAGAATATCCGAAGGAACAGTCAATGAAAACTAATCAGATAATTTAAAAGCTTACAAAATGATTCATCATTATGGTGCAAAATGATTCACTCATCTTATGACCTAATCATAATCACGAAAATGATGATGATATTGATAAAAATGACAACGGTGATGACGATGACGATATAACGACGAAACAAAGAAAAACAATTCCGTGAGACCAACTGAAAAAAGGTGAAAAGTTTCTTGCACTGTTTTAATGAGTTGTTATTTGTTGAATTAGTTTCATTCATTTGTTCGTTCTTTTATCTTTTATTGATTTCTTCATTTTATCGACGTTGCCCTATTAAGACTGTTCGTTTCTGTGAAAACGAGTACAAGTACAATACGAATATATGCATGT